CCAGGGGAGAGCTCACCGGGATCTAAATATGATGAGGTGTCACACTGATAGGGCCTCGTTTTAGCTGTCAAAGTGTCAATTCGCATTTTGCACGCAGCTGAGGATCAAATTCTTCTGCCACGCTTCAAATGAAAACAGCAGTAGGGCTGCGGTGATATCAAATGAGTTAAAAGTGTTTGATTACTGTAAAAAAAAAAAAAAAAAACCATGATTTCTGTTCACTGGCTCCATAGCAAAAAATCTCAACTGTTTTCAAGTCTGTGACCATCTTATGAAATCAATCAATACAAAATACTCATTACCAATTTTGAGATCCTGGAAATTATTAATAAATGTTCTTTAGGAAAAAATTGCAATTTTTAACTCACCATTAATACTTTTTGTGGGGCCATAAGGTTTTTTGCAAGTTGTATATGTTCAAATGTATAAATCTTTTATGCATTCATTTAAGTAATGAAATAGTTTAGTATAGTATCTGGTTTTGCCACTAGCTTTAGTGCTGAATACTTCAATACAACCTCATTTGGGAGCAAACCTATAATAATAATCCAAAAATTTTCACATTTGTATTGTCTGGTTATCTGAATGATTTGGTGAAATGAATAATTACAGTATTAACTAACACTATTGACATTACAACTGTTCGCCATGAAACAATCAAAATGAAGCACTTCCCATGAAAGCACCAAAATATTCGATCATAATTAAGACTAAAAATGAAATTTTAACTACAAGGAAAAACTCCTTTTGGCAACATGTTGAGTGTGTCTTGTATGAGCGCCAACTGCTTCCAAATTTCCCGTCTTATCTCAATTTCAATTAGCATGGCTCTCTTCTCTCGCACAAACAGAGTCTCCGGCCGCTTTTGGAGATGTAGTTTACATTTCAAGATAATGTTAACTTCAGCCAAGGGCAAGCCGTGGCCTTTCCCACTCAAATGTGTGAGAAGTGATTTGGCTTTTTTTATAATGGTGGGAGCTTGCGTCCTTGGCGAGAGGCTCTGGGTAAAAAAAAAAGAAAAATCTGAGAAGTCAGCTAAGTGTGACTTGCTCACCCTGAGGGCAGCTGAGACTGAGGAACGCCATACACTATTAATGCAAAGTGGGGGAAAAGTTTCTAACTTCTAACTAGCTTAAGATTGAGTTGGAAAATGTGCTTGTAGCGGAACAAGGACAGACGGATTGAGCTGGAGAAATCAAATATTTTAGTCAGGGTTTGAACTGTGCATTTCCCACTCTAGGCACGATCTGGCAACATACCTATCACAGAACTAGAATGTATTAAATATGTGGCAAGAAGGCTCCTCAAAGGACCCGAGTGCAGCATGCTAATTTCATTATGAGCGGCTATGCAAGAGAGACATCTTTGTATGCTAATGACGGGGCTTAGTGTAAGTAAATTACCCGTCGTGCCTGCCAAGTGTGTGATTACGGATGTGCGCTATGTCGGCAGGAACACTCCTCCAGAGCAGAGTTCACCACAATAAAACATCTGTCCACACGGTTTTCAGACTACTGCACTTTTTAAATTACTATAAATATGCACATTAGTGTCAAGGTTGGAATATATCAAAGACAGGGCTGTCATTCTGTTTGAAGTATGGAGACATATGAGAGATGTGGACTGAAACTGGAGTCTGTTCTAGAAAATACAGGCTGAAGAGAATTTTATGAGTTTTTTTGAAGGGGCCAAAAAAAGTCAGAAAAGAAAATTGAGCAATTATGTCAGCCATCGGTCAATAAAGACATGTGATTAGACCAGAGAGAGACCAGTGAACAAAATAGTTTTAAATCTTGCTGCAGGACTCGCCATAGTGCATAATTAACTATAACAGACAAAAAAATCAGCAAGTTTAAAATGTTTTTATGTACTCAAAATAACAATGTCACTGGTATTTACACAATAAATTATATTTTAATATAATGTAATATACTTTCACATTTTTATTGTCTGTGACAGCTCCAAAGCGCAAATTCTGGCACTTCTGGCCACCCTGAGAAGGCCATGTTCCAGCTTCTTACCCTCTTTTCCCCATAAGCTGTTGTAATATTGGCCCTTGCTTTTGTTTGTTTATCGTTTAAATGTGTATCGAATTGTTTCACTGTTGTTTCTTATATTTTTCAATGCGCTTTCATATTTGTACTGTGTTTTTATGTTTGTTTCTGGTGCACTCTGGGAGTTTTTGCGCAAGCATTCCAAGTCATTTTTTGGAGGTCAAAACGACTAGACCACCTTATGAGCGCTGTACAAATCCACTTTTCCACAACTTTTTCCTCATCTTCTACTAAAACAGGCCAATTGATCAAACTAAGACATAGCTCTTCTCCCTCCACTGTAATATAAATCCAAACACTGCTAACTTTCTTTACTCAGGCTTCCAAAGTTTGCCGAGCCCTTCCATCAAACCTCTGCGTGTTTCCCAGGCAAACACACACGCCCCTGAACTTAGATTTATATTGATGATTCTATTGCGGGCTTCTAATAACTGGGCCGTTCAATAATTCATGGCTCACTCACTGCTTTCTGAATCAATCTCTCATAAACAAACAGAGCAGGCTTCTGTCAGTGGAGGAGGACACTACCGCCGTCTGTCACTGCAATTCCGCGCTCATGGGTTAAATTCTATATCATTTGCAAGAAAATTCAGTTTTTGTTTTTGTCGTTTATTATCTTTCTGCTTTAGTCTATGGTATGACTATTATATTCAGAGGGTCTATTCCGACAATGTTCAAAAATACACTAAGCATATTTTTCAATATAGTTTCCTTTCCAAACTCACCTCACATTTTGCTGTTAGTAGTTATTAACGAATATGGTTCACTTCAAATTCATAATAATAATAATAATAATAATGCATTGGTTTTATATAGCGCTTTTTGGACACTCAAAAACGCTTCACATTCATTCACTCCAAACACGGTGGTGATAAACTATACTGTAGCCACAACTGCCCAGGGGCACACTGACAGAAGCGAGTAAACCAGGCTGTTCTATCGGCCCCTCCAACCACCACCGACCAATGACACACACACCAGACTCATTTTAGGCAATGTGGGTTAGGTGTCTTAACCTAAGGACACAACGGCAGTAGACATCAGTGGGAGTCGGGGGAGAAAGTCTTGTGGCTTGAACCTGCAACCTTCAGGCTCAAAGGCTTACCAACTCAGCCACTGTTGCCCCTAACAAAAGACCCACATACTTAAAGCGAATGTGGGTCTTTTTAAACACAAAGACAAAGAGACATACGGCAATCTATTTAAAATACATACTAACTCAAAACAAAATGATTACACTGAAATGAAAAGTTGTTGCATTCAAATCAAAGCTATGGTTAGATTTCCGGCTGTAAACACTCCATTAGTTTGCAGGCCTACATTTACCTGCTCGCTCCCACACACCCACTGCCACTTGTCCCTTGAAGCTTTCCAAACACGCATATATAAATCGCTTTGTGGCTCAGTCAAAATGCCGCCTGTCATTGCTGAGCTGCGTAATGCTGTCAGGCCTAATTAACGGAACCAAAACACGCATTTAACATTTCAAAAGGTCAAGGTCAATAAACGAAGCATTTTGCAAACGCCGTAAGAAGGATCACTTTGTTAAGCCAGTGGCATAAACTGTCGCCGTTGTGTTGTTGCTAATAAAAACAGATGGACGTTATGAAGAAACAGAAGAGATATGTGACTTTGCAGCATGTCTCTATAGTACATTATGCATTTTTATAGCAATAATGTTTTAATATTATTGATAACTACATCTTATTTAGGCTTAATAAATGTTGAAATAACACTTTACTAAACATGAACAATTCATTAATTAAGTATGACTAACACTTAACTACTTAACTACTACAGTTAATAACCCTAAACCTAATCCTAACCCTAACCAAACCCAAACCACAACCCTAACCCTGAGCCTTTTAAGTAGTTGGTCACACTTAATTCATGAATTGTTCATGATTAATTAAGTGTTAAGCCTAAATAAGGTGTAGTTATTAGTGTAACCATGTTTCAAAGCCTGCCTGTTAGATGTTTTATTGTTGAATAAAGAATTGTTTTACTTTTAAAGAAAACATCACGTCATCTCCTTTATTTATCCATTTCTGGGTCAGGGGGGTGGCAATTAGGGCTAACAAATGAAGAAGATGGCCGCTCCTTCAACGCAGATACGGCCATGATGTTTCAGCGGGGCTTCAGGCAAAGCGGGGTTAAGTGTCTTGCCCAAGGACACAACGACAGCAGACATCAGTGGGAGCAGATGACTAGGGTTGTGGGAGAATCAAACCCACGACCATTAGGTCCAAAGACAAATTCTCTACCACTGTCGCCTCCAAAGCAAACATCAAGTACTTCAAATAACCAGCCCAAACAAATCTTTTACTAAGCTTTGAATTTAAGTGTTTTTATTTTATTCCCATGAGAAAAAGCTTGGAAAGTGTTTGAAATAAGAGCCCATGATGACTCCAAGTTCAAAGTCATCCAAGTTGAAAGAAGGAGAAGAAGAAAGAAGTAAACCCTCCACTCCAAAGTTCACAGTAAGATAACCGTACTCACTTTGCAACCTTGCTTTTAGAGTAACTCAGTTTGCACAGGAGCAGGAAAGTAGAAGGAAAAACATCTAACTTTTTTTTCCTCAACTGTTACCCTTTTACTTGGTGTTTAAAAAAATGAAAATAGGATAATAGTCGGACAAAAAGCCCCATTGTAAAACACATGGAAATTTACAAATAACAGATGAGTTCAGTGATATGTCATAGGCAAAGCTAGAAAGAACTATTTTTTGTCTAGACTAAACTATAGCCAGGGTAGCAGCCTGTCTCACTCCTTCAGGAAGACTGCTCCAGACGTGCGGTGCCTAGGTCTGTAACACTGCCTTATTAAAATGCAGGACTTGTTTCCTTCATGATAATTACCTGCTCCTTTGGCACATAACCCAGTGCTATTTTGTGCTGTATTATTAAAAGTCTAGGGGCGACAGGGTGTGAAGCTGCGACTCCTTACTCAGGTCTGACAGTGCGAGGCGCGTTGCCGAGGTGTGAAACTCCTCCGGCTCCGCACCAGCTGTGAGGAGATGCTGACTGACAGGGCAGGACCACCCGAAAGCACCCAGGGGTCAATGACGTACGGCGAGCCAAAATCAAGCGCCGAGTCCCCTGGGAATCATTACACCCATTTTATCTCGTTTGTGCATCGGAGCTGAGTGAATTGAACACCTGCCAAGCACCTGAATGTTTGTCTTTGGCTACCTTACTTTTTCTGCAACGCCTCCATGAATAAGGTCAACAAAATGAAGGACTTTTTTGGGGGGTAAATAGATTTGGATTGTAAGTAAAGGCAATCTATTTCATCCCAGTCTAGCATGATTGCACATACAATTAGGCTAGCAATTGCCAACTAATGAAAGACAAGGCTGACAATTAAATGCCAATTGTGTCATAATGATGTTATGATATAAAATCAAACAAGGATGTAATGATTCTGACCCATGAATTTATTGTATGCCTTTTTCAGAAATAGGGATAGATTAATGGAGGAAAGTCATTACCAGTGTGCAATTACGCCAATGGTGTTTCCAAGCCCTTATTTTGTTGGTCTTAATATTGCTTCAAAATCCCACCCTCCAATCAAATACCTATGAAGCTAAGCAGGGCAGGACCTGGTTAGTGCGGTGATGGGAGACCTCTGGGATCACCAAGTGCCACAGTGATAATAATAATAATGCATCGGTTTTATATAGCGCTTCTCTGGACACTCAAAGATGCTTTACATGTCATTATTCATTCACTCCATACACGGTGGTGATAAACTACTACTGTAGCCACAGCTGCCCTGGGGCACACTGACAGAAGCGAGGCAAACAGTATATGGTATCAGCCTCTCCGACCACCACCAACCAATCACACACAGCAGACTCATTCTAGGCTATGGGTGTGAAGTGTCTTGCCTAAGGACACAACAGCAGTTTGGCACTTTACAGCTGGTGGGTCGGCAGCAGCTGTTAAGTGCCAGACTGTGGTTGTGTCCTTAGGCAAGACAACTTCCCCAGAATTAGAATGAGTCTGGTGTGTGTGTGAATGGTTGGTGGTGGTCAGAAGGGGCGATGGTACAGAATGGTTGCCTCATTTCTGTCAGTCAGTGTGGCCCAGAGCAGCTGTGGCTACAGAAGTAGTGTGAAGCGTTGAGTGTCCTGAGAAGCACTAAATAAAACCAATGCATTATTATTATTATTTTGATCTGGTCAAGCAATCCAATGAGTGACTTTGTAGTAGAAAATCAGTTTTTTTAGTCAACAAGTCCTAATCTTCTCCAAAGGTCAACATGCACAAAATGCATCCATGATTTACTTTTCATGCAAGAGAAAAATCCAGACTTTTGCACTGTAGTCGCGTGCTTTAACCTTGAAGTACTCATGCAAATATTGTCATCAAACATTAGCTAGTTTTGGCTAACCAGACATTGATTGCATACAAACAGCCTTACATTCAAATATACACGTTCTATTATACATTTGTCAACCAAGCCATCTGCCCGTGTGGGAGGTGACACAATTAGCAGTGAGCAGCGGCCAAAACGTGTGAAGAATTGTGTGTTCCTGGGTTTCATTCACACGGCTCTTTTGTCACCTTTTTGCAGCCACCAGGATGCCAATATCCCAGAGAGAATTTGCGCCTTTATCAGCAAACAAAGCTCTTATTATCGGCAGGGAGTGCGAGGATTCTGGTAAAGGCCTTGGCCCCTCTGTTTGATTGCCCGTGTGAAAGAATGGATACGCCATTACCCAACAAAATATCTAATCCAGTGGCACATCCTGCATCACAACAGAGGAGATGAGAACTAACAAAGCCGCGCTGGTGAGGAGAAATCAATCCGTCTTCTTTTTACTGTGGTGTGAAATGGAATTGGATTTTTCTTTTTTTCTAAGAGGACGCCTTTAAAATATTGGTGTTTTGGGAGCGGTGTGGAATGCCGTGGCTATGAGAGGTAATAAAAACAGCTGTATAAGCCATAAGTTGTTGTCGGATAGCATGAAGAGATGGATCAATGTGGCAAAAATACAAACAATTCTATCTGCTTATCAATAGACCTCCACTGAGATCCTGCCATTGAAATGCAGACAAACACTTGGTCTCCCAGAATTGTGAAACTACTAGAACTCTCAGAACCGTCATTTGGACTGCTCCCATTCAAACCTAAGGAGTTCGGAAAAATTCCCCTCTAAGAATGTCTAGTTTTTCACCAGTTTCATGAAAAGAAAGTAATTTATACGTAATTTACCCAATTTTAATAAGCAATAAAACTGGTCGGACTGAAATAAAGCAAAAAAGGCTAATGCTAAACAGTGCGTTGCTATGGTAACTAGAACCTCTCCTAACATTTCAAAACTTATTTTCAGAAAGAATCATGACATAGAAACAAACTACACAGTCACAAAGTTATGAAAACCAAGAATGCACGAGATGAGTCATTACCACTTCCAAAAGAAAAACCGTCAAATTGACTGCTACTACTTTTAGCGGTAGTAATAAAAATCGATCTAATAATTATGACAAAACATGGAGAACTGTATAACCCTAGATATAGCTCCCGCTTGGAGACTCGCCACAGGTTGGAGACCCCTGCCATAAATGAAACAGGGCGCTTTCAGAAATTGGCAATTAATTAGCTCATTAGAGACAGTTAAAAAATAAAGTCTTCACATCAGCTATGACTATGTAACACGCCACACAATAGGTATGTCTCCTGAAGTTTGTTTGAAGCCGATAGAAGTTGCAGTGCTGCCTGTTCGCACATGGAGAAGTTCAGACTCTTGATGACCCGGCGATGTTTGAGCTGCCTTTGATCAAACAGAGCGGCTTTATTCCTCCCGACCGTCCGCCACGAGTCACGCAGGAGAAAAAAAATCAAGAGACTGTGTGAGAATGTGAAAAGAGGCGTGAATACAGACACAGTCACAACAACACAGTCCATATGGAGAAGGTATGGAGTCATTTCTGAATACAATATGTGTTATTGTGTGGGTCAAGAAGTCGTATTTATATTGTGCAAGGGATAATACTTTAGGTGGTACAGATTTGATGTGAAACAGAAGAAATTGAGTCTTGAAACTTCATAAGAGACAGAGGACTTTTGTTAGGATGAATTTTCAACATATGAATCAGGGACTGCCACTGTATTTTAACCCCCGTGACTGACCAGTGTGATGTGTGATGTGTGTGGCACGAGTGGCTGAAACATATTGAGGTGTCTCTGACTGCTGGGGCTCTCTTTCTGTAGACCCTCTCTAACAACACCATATAGACCTCCTCCAGAGGCCTGATGTGTGTGTGGTTCATTTCCTGTTGTTTCTGTATGAATCACTTTTTTTACAGTCATCAAATGTCATCTTTAATATCTATTTAGTGTATGCCAAATATTTTAAGCCACAACTAGATTATCATTATAACAACTACAGAAGTAATAGAAAAGTGCAGAAAGCTTCCTGGATGCAGGAGCTCGTAGCCTTTTTCTGATTTCATTTTTAATACTTTGTATTTTATAGATGGAAAGTTTTTAAATATTTATGATACTAAAACTGAGGGAAAACAGCATAGATTTTCAGAATGTCTCAGTCTTTTAAAGTAAATGTTGATTCAAGGCCACATTTGAAAGGCTGATCTTGCCAGATCTGGTCAAATCTGAAGTAAAGCAAAGAGTTGGTTTGTTTGTGACCTCTGAACCCTATCAAACTGTTGTTGTGTCCTTATGCAACACACCTCCCCCACTGCTGAGTTATGAGTTGCCTCGTCTGTTCCAGGTCCGCTGTGGCTACGCAGTACTTTATTGTGCCATGTGATGTGGTATATATAGTATAACAATGTATTATTATTATTTTACCCGATAAATAAGTGAAGTGAAGTATTTAAGTTAATATTTAAAGTCAAGTCATTTTTTTGCAAACTCAACACTTAGTATGTCCCTCAAGAGACAGTACAGTGACTACACAATCAATGGATTTGATTGGATGATTCGTCTTCATTAAGGCAATTTAACGACAACCCCAAGAGATCGTTGCTACCCTGAGAGCTCCAAGTGAATCTGCTTATTCACGCCGTATGCAAACACGGGTCAGACATGTTCCAGATACCACATGTACACTGTGGCTCTCCCCTCTTGAAATTCACTTGATTATGACCAGTCTGTCACTCAGGGCCAAAAGGCCTGAAGCGTGAGGGAAAAGCACTTTGATTAAAAGGGAGCGGTCTAAGAGTCATTCCCATCAAAGGATTTTTCTAAAGAAAGCCATGACTCCAAGTGGCACACTTTCACTCTTCTTCAGGCTACAAACAAAAACAGCCAACAGTGAATTTTACATCAAAGATAAATATGCTTAAATTATATGGTGTGTGAGGGTAATGTAGCCGTTTCTTTAAATTCAACAACCCAATCACCAATCTCAGTAAAACTATTTATACAGGGCAATTAATCCGTTGATCTTTGATTTCTTGGAACATCTATATATAGCAAACAGCTTAAAAAATGTGTTTTTAAGCTGTTAGTTTGATTCTTTCCTCATTTATCATAAATATAAAAGGCACTACCATGATGCATCTCTCATCCCACAGAGAAAGCTAATGGAAGATTTATGTCATGTAGACTTGAGCATTAGCCCTAATAATCTGAAAAATACTTGCCAACCACAGTTTTAAACAGAAAAATGGATGTCATGACCCACACTTAATCCAAGCAGCGATGGAACCACAAGTGAGCAGAACAACTGAATTATATGACCGAACTAAAAACAGGTTGAAGGTTTCTCATAACCACTTCATATATTGGTTTTGGATAGAGAGAAAGAGAGATCTCAAAGTAGTCCTTCGTCAGCACAGTCTATTCTAGCATTAGCATCATCAACCTTGAGTGAAGAGCTGCTACAGTATCTCGCTGCAAAGGGCTGTAATAATTTGCATTTTCCGACAAAACAAAGTCTTTGTAATTGGATTAAAATACTACTTGAGAGCCGCCATTGAGATCTTGTAGGCACACCATTTGATTCAGCAAATACCCTTCAGAACTTCAAATCTTATTATGTGTTCAAAAACGTCCCTAAAGTTCTCTAAAAAGAAATGCCAGCCCAGGTCTCCAATGTGTTCTGCCTCCACTGATATGCTTTCTATTCGTTTTTTTTTTTTTGGAACACATAACGGGGCCAGAAATTGAGTGGTTGGCCCTCATTGGAAATCAAGGCAATGGTGGTGATCAAGGAAACCACTGGGCTGTGGTCCAACTAATTTCAACGAATTGTAAGCACTGGTTTGTCCTTGACACACAAGATATACGGTATTAATCTGAATATGAGAAAGGGCTACAGAAAACGTTAAGCAGAATGGTAACTGTAAAGCAGAGATTGACTTAATTCTCTCAAAATGCAGGCGTTTTTTCAGGTTTATGATCAATGTCTTTTGTCTATGCATCTATGTCCTCTATATATCTTTTTCAGGTATTACAACCACCAGTAAAGTAGTGTTTCTTATGTCACCAGGATCAAATGGAAAAAAAGAAAGCTGGACGTCAGAACATTGTCAGTGTCAGTGTAATTTTGTTGCTACTCCAGGCAAACTGTCGCTGTGTCTTTATGCAAGACACTGCCCCCACATGTCCTAGTATGAGTCTGCTGTGTGCTTGAACGGTTGGTGGTGATTGGGGGGGGCCGATGGTACAAACTGGCTGCCTCGCTTCTGTCAGTCTGTCCCAGGGTAAAGCTGCAGTTACAGTAGTAGTGTTAAAGTATCAAGCAATGTGAGGCATTTTCGAGTGTCAAAAAAGCTCTATATAAAACAGATGCATTATTATTCTATATCCAACCATGAAACAAAACCAAAAGACCAGCATTTATACAAAACAGGACAAAGCCTTACCCCTGATTTAAACCAAGCAGCGGGCCAATCGTAGCCATAAGAGAAGACGTTACATCATTCTATAGCTTTTTTCCCTGCGGTGATAAGCCAGGATATGTGTCATAACAGTTGGGGGTGACTTGGGGGCTTCAAGCATGCCAGCTCAATGTACTTTTATCATAGAAAATACAAAGAAATTGAAGAGAGAAGTGTGTGAAGAGGCGGAATACATTTTCTTTACCGCTACATAAGTGAAGGAGTTTGAGAATTGTAGAAGAGATGTTGGCATTTGATCACATGTTGTGCTTTTACAGGCAATTTAACAGTCATGATTAATTCAGAAAGCATCTTCTTAGCACTCACTCAATTATTTATTTTGATCGAGAACTAGCATGTAATTTTAAAAAAATCCATTGAATAGATTTTGTACGCAACATGAAGACATTTGAGCAGAAATCCATGGTTTGATTACATTTTAGTTTCAGGACACTTTAAGACAACTCGAGCAGATGGCGTTTGAGATCAGTACAGTTAAGGCGCAGAGTTGACAGGTGGGAGATAAAGTCGGCAAACTAAAATAAAAAACCCAGGGTAATAAATGCTTACAGGCAGATGCCACACACGCGCTCAGACGAGAGGAGGAAGGGGGGTAACAGAAGTGACTGATGCGAACTCGTGAAGCGCGTCAAGGGCCCAGTGCGAACCAGCCACAACCTGCTGTCAGCAAACTGTAAGGACCACTGCCTCACCCAGAGACAGCAGCGAGAGAGAGAGGGGGGGGTGAACTCCGGCTGAACCTTGCACGCCCACACTGACATTTCACACACCACATCACTATGAATCACCTCAAGGAGAGAAGTGAGAAGCTGCAACTACTCGAGTATATGTTGGGTTGGATAATTGAGAAAATAGGATAAATGACAACTAGAATATATTGGATTACATTTTTTTGGGCTTGGTAGAAGTTGGGAGTTGACCAAAAAGAACTGGACATTACAATTGGACTCTCTATAAGCCATTTTTGGTTCAGTGCAAAGATGTAGTGGATACCAATAGACTTAATTACAGCAAAAACAAAAAAAATCCTTTAGTTTTGATTTCTGAGAGCATGTGTAGAACGCAAACTGGCTTGCAAACGAACCAAACTTTGTCACATATTGTCATGTTTACGGCCACAAACTGCTGTTCACAAATCCTCTTCAGCTAATCTTACAGATCTTGAGTTGTTGGGTAAGGAAGAAAGGGCATAACTTTCAGTATCTGATATGTACAACGCATATAGGCTCGATGTGGCGTGTATGAATGTCTATGCACACCACTTTTCATCTTATTTCTATTTTCATCACAAAGTGGTGGCCGTAGAAACAGCGCCCAGTTACAGGGTGTTTGACTGGAGTTTGCTGGGAGAACATGCAAACTCCACTCAGAAACACCCTGTTCAGACCAGGATTCGAGGAAGCAAGAGGGCTAACCACTCCTGCCTCCCACATATATGTATAACTAACACACATTTTCTTAATAATTACGCAAGTTTGAATCTGTCAACGACCATCGACTTGAATAATGACAGTATGTTTCACCGCGATTATACTCATGCTAACAGTTCCTGGTGTTCTCTCTCCTGAGCCGTACATCTGCGGTACAGTGATCCTCATCTGCCAGTCACCTTGGCTCCGGCCGCCTGTGAGGTCTGCATCCTTCACCTCCTGTGTGGTCATGTGACGGCACACTGTGATGATGACCAGTGCTTCATATCAGAAGGGCATCAGGGCCATATGGCTGCATCGGAGCCTTGTTGGGCTGATTTATTGCATGGGCAGTGGTCGCTTGTTGATGGATGACTAATGGGGGCAAAGGAATGCCTGGGATTTGCGAAGTCATGATGCTACTTGTGTGTCTGTGTGGAGATAAGGGTTTGAGAAATGAGCAGTATTGGCTGAGAAATATAATTAGAATTTAGATGGTGTTGTAATTAGGTGTGTGATATATTATTATGATAGCAAACACGTTGTAAACAAATCCAGGAGTGACTGAAATGTGATCTGATAAGCAAAACATACACTAATTCAGGCAAGTCCAAACTCAGGCTCGAGGGCCGATCGCAGCCCTCAGTGTCATTTTATGAGGCCCTTTGCCTTGCTAATCCAATGTAGTCTTTGAGATCATAAACACAAGTTCACTGTATCATCCATCCAACTTCAGCTCAGCCAACGTAGATCTTGTTTTAATGCTCAGTACCAATGAAATTCAGTTGATGACTTTATTATTATGTATTCCGACAGGCTACTCAAAGAGCGCGGGAGGCGGGTGTTGTAGGTCGGTGCCGGTGACGTCAAGAGTTTGTGCTGAATGGGCAGGTTGTAGTTTGGCAATGGGGAAGAATGCGATAGTAAAGTAATCGGTCTGGTTCTATCAAGAAATTGAACCAGGAGCAAAAGGAATGTTTAGCAAATGTAATCGCCGGTCAAGATTGTGGCGCTACTCCCCACGGGCTCCGTTAGCAGCAAAGGAGATGGCTAGGCTAAATGCTAACAACAGACTCGGGCGCATTACATACTGTACGTCACGGTAAACTCATGGTTTCAATCTGCAAAAGGAGTTAACAGGTGGGAGGGGTTAACGAAGTCAATGGAGCAAATCCAGAGCTAGTACAGACGTGGTTTTTGACTGTGTCACTTCTGTTAGTGGTGCTACTGTAGCTGGTGAGATAGTAAACAAGTGTCATTCAGCCAACTTCAGCTCTGTTATAGATCATCATAAAGCCAGTCAAGACAGTTTTTGAACTAATCTGGCGAACTAATGTGACCCTCTTACTAAAAAGTTTGGACAACCCTGCAATACAGGCTTGATGAGGTTTAAACTGCATGAGAACTAATATCCATACAATAAATTTAAGAACCCCTATCTGCCAGCAATAAGGCGGAATAAAAATTAAGGCGGGGCTGTGCAATGCTCTCTTTTCAATGAGGTTTTGAATAGTAAATATTAGGACATAACACCATTTTGTGTACACAATTATGCATAAACAGATAAAGCTAAAGCACAAGGCCAATCCCCCAATTTTTCTTTTACTAAATTTATTCCTACAATAAAATAATAAAATAAAGTAATGAAATGAACACAAATGTAAGCAATATATGGACTCACACTTCTAGCTGGATGGACAGGATGTTTTTAAGGCTATGAGAAAGTGATGAAGACGTTACTTTAATCTCCGCGAGACAATTCCCCTCTCTAAAACATCTCTCCGACTCCTCCGCACTTTGGTTATGATGTATATATATTCACTGTATGTAAAGATGGTGCAGCAGAGTGCATCAAACAAAGCCAGACCTCTTTGTGGAGCCCCATCTCTCACCGGTCTCATTTTAAAGCAGCCATAGCCTCTACTTGAAAACCTTTCAACCAATTCAGCCTTCTCCCTTTGAGTGCGGCCATTGGTATCGGCTCGCGTTTTGTCACCCCATGCTAGCGCAAACAATGAGGGGCTATGGAGGAAAGTGTGGGAGAGAAGCCCCAACAAGCGGGATTATTTGACCGAATGGAATCCCATACTGGTATCAGATGAATGGTGTTTGGAGACCTGCGAAGTGTGCCTTTCATGTAAAGTTAAAAATGTCGCCCAGAATTCTTTACATCTGCAGCTACAGGCAGGCGTCTATACCACTGCTTTGTGGTCAGCAAAGAGAGAACAGATGAAAAGATAATACATTTTGAATAAAGAACTAGGCTGCCGTCAAAGCTCTGTGAAGATAGTTTGTGAAAAGGGAATATAGTGAATATGACAAGTTTTTTTTTAATGGACAACGAGATTATAGTTTTTGTATTCTGATCCATGTACACGGTAACATTTAAAGCAAAAAACTATATTCATCGCATATGACAACTTTGAGGTCCAGTATATCCAGAATAATATATATCCAGACTTGGTTATATATGGTATACATGCAAATTGATAAGTCATGTATATAAATATTTCACAGGACCATTTTCACAGAACCAAGCTGCGTCCTTGTTTTATCTTATATTCTAATATCTTAATATTCTGCATGTTTGAAATAATCATAATTAAGTACAGATATGTGGGTGGGATAAGTGGTAGGTTCAAAACTGAAGGCTGTGTGTGCATTGCGACTCCGAGACCTCTGAAGCACCACTTCTCATTAGTTTTGGCCTCTTTACTTTAATGATGTTGAAAGAACTGTGTGGGACGTATCTTTGCAAATCATGCATCATCATATCCGTTTTTGTTAAATACACTGCAAAATATGATAAAATATGAGGTAATAAATGCTTGAATCGAATAGTTTTAATCTTAGTTTGAGCACATTCTGATTGTGTTGAAACAAGATTTACCAACGGGACAAAGCCATTTTCTCATTCCAAGAGAGACATTTCTCGTATCTTTTTAAACAAGATAATTCTACTCGTCACATTGGCAAATCTTAAGGCGGCCAAACTGTACTCAAATTGAAATATATTTTGACAAATTTGGGCTATCTTGACTTATCTTTCATCACTTTTTGCAGTGTCATCTTTAACAAAAGCAAATCAATTATTTGACACTTGCTAATTCTAAGTTTTGTACGAACACAACAAACTCTTCTATCCCACATAATTACACAAAAATACGCACAGACAGAAACTGCATCAATTTGTTGGCACGCTGCTGCGCCCACGCCACCGTTTACCAAAGCGGCAAACACGAGCGGTCTTCTCTTCGCCGGGGTCGTCTACAATCGTCCCCTCTCTTTATCCTGTTTGCGTGTGGGAGTCCAGGGGGTTAATGCGTGAATGGAGCACCACTTGTGTAGGTCTTGTGACTCTTTCCACCGCTATAGCTGCTGCAACTGAATATAAGGCTAAATATGCACGCACGCTCTTCCGCCGCTCATTTGCATCCTTGAATTACGTCTGTCTTTGCATATGCTAATCGGACACGAAAGGAGAGGCGAGCGTACCCCCAGAAGCAGGTGTTGAAATCCAGGGCTGGCTGTTAGCAATCGCCCTTGCGTTGGCCAAGGTTACGGATAGCGTTTGACTCGGGCACTTCACCTCCCCTGTGGCGGCCCTTCACGCGGGCCCCGGGATGAAGGAGAGAGGTAGAGAAGGTGGGCGGTGGAGATTAGAAGAGGGCCAAGAGTTTTGTGTGTGGAAAACAAGAGGGTCACGCCGGTTAAAGAAAGCATCTTCAAAGTAACTCAATTAAAGCAATTACGATGCAGCACAGAAGCAAAGAGCTACCGTTATTGCCACTGGGTAAAAAAAAAAAAAGGCCCTCTGTTTTCAAAGCATCAACAAACTCCATCAGTGGCTTGAGGAGAATTTTCTTTTGTTTGCTACTTTTAGGAACCAGACCCTTGAATGCACTCGGCCTCTTTCAAGTGGAATGTAATGGCTCCGTGTTCCAATTTCTCATTAGCATGTTAGCCACCCTACTCTTTGTTTTGTTTCATCGGTGGAGAACAGCAAATGGAGTGTTTCAATTATATTCTATGTCCTGATTGTGGAATAAGGCAAGCGATGCATTTACAAGATGGCTGTCATGAAAAATTCAACTCCACACATACATGGAAAAGACAATTCAATCCAATCACTTTGACCGCAGTATTTTTCAACAACCAATCAAATGGTTACACATGTTATGTATATGCAGGCTTTGCATTTCAACTTCAAGAAAACATTAAAAGGGTTTCGGCCCAGCTCTTTACGTTGAGGTCTCTATAACTCCATTCAGTTTGTTTGAAAGATTCCAAATTATAATGTTGGTAAATATCAGAGACAGCATGTAGCAATAGCATGTCTAAGAATAAAGCCACGCCTCTGATTGATGCTTCTTTTTAGTCTGTTTGTTCGCTTTCATGTTTCTCAACGCTGTCAAAGCCGTCATTGCTTAAATAAATGCGAGAGATCGTTCTGCCCCTTTTATGATAAGGCGCGGCAAAATAATCCTGGTGAAATAAAAAATGATTAAAGGCTTTCGCGTGGGGAGCTAAAGTGAGAGTCGCGCTTGTCACTGACATTTACAGCGTGCGTGTAAAGAGACGGTGGACAACATAAAGTGGGCCCGGCAGTGTTCTTGGCTGCAGGAGTGCATTTGGAAGTTACAAGCTTCCAAAACCACTCAGGCTTATAATTAAACATCCAAACAAGAACTTTATTATGAATCTGGTCGCAGCATATTCCGAACTTTGTTGCTAATCCAGAAGTTTTACTCTTCAGAACTGACAAGGGAAATTAGCTACAGTAGAATGTGAATATTGGAGCAGAGAGGATATAGAAATGAAGATTCCGTATCGCTACTTTTCCTACCCTTGGGTCAAAATTACCCACCACAGATGAAGAAAAATAACTAAATTAGGGTCAAACAGGTTCTAAATTACCCAGGGCCGGTCGAGGTAGAAAATTTCACCAAAATTCAGCTCAAAAATGTTTTATTTTGAGTACTTTTGAATAAATGTGGCAGGTAAATTTGACCCGTAGAAGTACAAGGGTTAAAAAAATGAATTGGAATTAATTTTACATGTTTTTTTGTTATTAATTCTTTGTTTTTTTTAATGAATTGTGATTGACGGACAATGCTCTTTCTCTGCAACAAAAGTATTGCTGGAGATGTCTGAAATATACCTCATTGATGCTATAAAAAAGTATTATGAGATTAAATCAGTTGATCGCTTGTAAAGAATATTACCAGGATAAGTGTGACTTTCAATCCATG